CGGTCATAGGTGTGTAGAGAAGTTGATGACCGGGTTTAGGATAGATGGCCGTACTATCAAGAGGAGCAAACTTGTTTGCATATCGGTCATCTAGTGCCACTCGAGTGATCTAACTTTGCATCGTCGCTAGGATCGAGTGGCGTGGCAAGTTGAGTGGCTAACATCCTTTAGGAAATGATTGTGAAAAGCTAACACATATACACATGGTGGTGTACAAAAGGAGGTGGTGTTTGCAGGGTTGAGATGGGTTTGGGTCCCTCTCTCCCTCCCGTCGAGCTTGCGAGGCGGGATTCGGCGCTTTCGGGAAAATGGAATGCCTATTTTCTATTGCGCCGGATGCAAATTCTTGTGGTTGGCACATTGGAGCAAGGGTGAAGAAGTTAGAAGTGAAAACGAGTTGGTCGCGAAGACGCTGGCGTCGGTCAACTGACCGGACGCTGGGTCTGAAAGCACCGGACGCTGATAGCATGCGTCCGGTCGAGCTGGTCGGTCGGCACAAAGATCAGGGTATTGCACCGGACGCTGGTCTGCGTGTCCGGTCAAGGTGGACGGACGCGTCCGGTCGAAGAAATACGCCTCGGGGAGCTTCTTGAAACGACCGGACGGCTGGGGCTTCAATGTCCGGTCGATTGAAGCTAACTGCGTCCGGTCAGTCAAGTGATCGTTGGAATCGTGACACGTGGTCGTCAGGCAGGAGGCGGACGCCGAGGTCCGGCGGTCCGGCGGCCAACACGACGGAAAGGCGTCCGGTCGGCCCGATTTTTGCCCAGTGAAGGGGTAACGGCTAGTTTAGCCCTTGGGGCTATAAATAGAAGTGGCCTTCGGCCATGGCTGGTGTGGAGCACCTAAGGGGACTTAGTGTCCATGCTTGTGAGTGCTTGGGAGCCCTCCATCACACATATACTTGATAGTGATCATTCGATTGTGTGAGTGAGCGATTCTAGTGCGATTGCATCGTGAGGTTGCATCGAGTGGCACTAGGTGGTTGTGTTGCAAGCCGGTGGTGCTTGTTACTCTTGGAGGTTGCCACCTCCTAGACGGCTTTGGTGGTGGTCTCCGTCGAAGCCCGCAAGAAGCTTGTGCGGCGCTCGGAGAAGTTCTTGTGAGGGGTACTTGTGCACTTCAGCGAGTCGCGAAGAGCAACTTTAGTAAAGCGTGTCATTGAGCTACCCTCACTCAAGGGGTAGGTTCTTGCGGTGCCCGACGTGCGGGCTTAGCGGGTGATGCTAATTAGCCGCCGAACCACCAAGTGAGCGGTCGACACAACGGGGACTAGCGTGTTGGCAAACACGTGAACCTCGGGAGAAAAATCATCGTGTCAACATTGTTCTTCCCGTTGGTTTGCATCCCCATTACACAAGCTTGCAATTACTTTTATATATCTTAAGCTTGTGTAGTTGCTCTTGTAATTAGATAGCTTGTGTAGCTAGCTAATTACCTTCTTGCTTGTGAAGCATAGAAGTAGCTCTCTTGCGTGGCTAATTTGGTTTTAGTAACCTTGTTAGTCACATTGTTTAGTTTGTGTAGCTAAGTATTTGCGCTCTCTAATTAGGCATTGGTTGCCTTGTTATTGAGCATTGCTAGTGAGCTTAGTTAGCTTTGTGCTTTTGCTTACTAGCATGTGTAGGAGCTCCCTTGTTACTTAAAGTACTAGTGGCATAGGTTTGTGTGACCTTGCTCCTAGAATTGTTTAGGAGAGCTCTAGCTAGCCCGGCACCTTAGTTGCTTTATTAGTATCTTTGCAAGGTGCTATAGAACATATATTGAGGGGTGTAGTCTTGGCTAGACCGATAGTTGTATTTCCGCATTTATATCGGTTAGCCGACGCGATTAATTTTAGAAAAGACTATTCACCCCCCCCCCCCTCTAGTCCGTCATCTCGACCCTTCAGAGGGGAGGAGTTGTAGTGGAGGAGGGGGTGGTGTCCTCACTGGTGGAGGAGTGGGTGGCCGCCGCGACGGTGGAAGAGAGGAGGGGGAGGCGACGGGAGATGGTCGGGGCTCAGGGCGGTGGCGTCGGAGGAAGAGAGGAGAGGGGCGAGGGACAGATCGAGGGGGTGGAGGCGGACGCGGACCTAAGTTGTGAAGTCCATGGGATTTGATAATATTTTTGGGTCTGGGAACTCTCTGTGTGTGACGCGCGTTGACGGGGCACGTCTCTCGTAAAATACCTCTAACACAAACGCGCCTTATTCATATACCACAGACGCGACTCATTAATTACAGACGCGCTTTCCAAGCATGCGTCTGTAGTAGATGTTTATTATAGACGCGTGTTGATCCCGTCAGACCAGTAACCTCGGTTGGCGACTTATTACAGACGTGTGTTTAGAACGTGCGTCTGTAAACTCATATTACAGACGTGCGTTTGTCCTGGCGTCTGTAGAGAGCGTGGTGGATACGAGGCTTTTTTACGTAGTGGTAGACGAGTAATGTACTATGGACAATAAACATTGATGGTATGCACATTTTTGTTTTTTAGTCACTTCATTCATCAAGTTCAAGTGCACATACATATTACATGATACATCTACCTTTTTGGGTGGAAAAGACGCTGAAATATACACTCCCTGTTTGACATTCCAGTTTTTCTTCTTCTTCACCCGCCTACCTTTGTGGACTTGTGATGGTGATGCACGTAAACTCCCATCTCGCCGCCGCTGGTTTCCATCACCGTCAGCCTGGTATGGCGGCGCGCACTTTGTGTTGGGCAATTTTGGTGCTCCAAGATGCACACCCACACCCCATGTGATCGACCTGTGCTTCTCGGCCTCTTGCAAGTTGCAAACATGAATTCGTGCAGGCTACTATAAAAAGAAAAACTAAAGACAGCTGCACACGGGCACGGCCTTCAATCTCTGTGCATGCAGATGATATCGGTTTCAAAAATAAAGATTGCAGATGATATCACTCCATACATGACGGATACATATAAGTACAGTGAGCACATGAATGAACAAACGGCAAGCCTCGCGTCCGGACGTCCGGCCCTAGGCCTGCGTTCGGACACGGCTCCCGTTCGATGCAACCTCCATGCCCCCTCATATAGAATACACTAGCGCAATAGGAGAGCGTCTGCCCACCGCGCCCACGTCACCACTTCCCTGCACCCAAACCGTGACGTACGCAGCCCTCTCCTCCTAGCGCCCATCCCGCTCCGGAGGCAGCGTCCGTCCATACGGAGCTCCCTCACTTGCGTCCGACCTTCGCAGCTCCCTCATCCCGCGCCCATCGCGCCCATCACCCATCCCTCGTTCGTATGGATGCCATGCCGGCTCCGGGAGAGACGGTCCAGCAGAAAGGTGGAAGGAGAGTTGCAACACCATATCTACTTTTAAAATATCCAAATACAATGGTTGCAACATACGTCTGAAGGTAGTTGAAACATGCTTATGAAACACTTGAAAAACACACCTGAAAAACACTTGAAAACCATTGCAACCCATACGCAACATCCGAAACATATGCAACATCCAGATAAACAAAATTGCAACATGCGTCCGGAAAACACAGATGAAACATACACCTAAAACATCTGAAACACTCGAAACATACTATTGCAACATGCCTCTGAAAATAATTGCAACATATGCAACATTCCCAATCTACTTTTGCAACATCCATATGATTCAACTGCAACATACCTCTGAGACGTCTCAAATAATTGAAACATACAATTGCAACATAGGAAAGAAAGAGTGCCTGTTGCGGGGAGCTCCATGGCCGTTGGATCTGCGGGCATTGGGGGCTCCCGGTGCCGGAGCAGGGCCACGTGCCCGCACCAGATGTGCGCCCACGCCGGGGCCGCCGTCGGGGTCGTGTCCGTCCTCGCACCGGGTTGCCGGCCGGAGAAGAGGAAGGGATTCGCCACGTGGATCAGAGCTCGTGCTCGCGCCGGGGACGCCGCCGCGCTAGAGCAAGAGGAGGGAGAGGGAGGCAGTGGGGCGCGCGGCTCATGCGACACGCGGGGGGAGGAGGGGGGGAGGGGGTTGCACGGCTCGGTGGAGGAGCGTTGCGGCGTGGGTGCGGTGGGTGTGGAGATGCCGCGGTGAGGGAAGATAGCGCGGAACGAGCGGGTGCGGAAATCATTATCGATGAACAAACGATTCCCTGGGGCCGTACTGCAATCACGCATGCCGCCGATTCTCTGCATGCATATAACTGTACAAGTCCTGACGAATGCAGTGAGCACGCACTTGTATCGTGTGATTGCCCAAGAATGGACAGGCCGGCCGGCTGGGCAGAGCTGCCTCATCTTGACATTGTCGCGGTCGTGGTCGGCCCCTCCAGCCCTCCTCACCGTGCGAAGAGTGCAATGCACCCGTACCGTATGTTGCCCCGGCAGCACACTGGCCCATATGTCTACGGAGTACTCGACTAGCTAGGGCAGCTAGCTGTTAGCTACTATTGCAAGATTAGGATCACGTCGAGGATAGATGCCAATTGAAGATTTTTTTTTTGAGACATCACTACTCATTAGTGCCGCATGCAGTGGACTTGTGGACCATACATGCATGTGACATGCCCAGCTTGATCGATGATCATCACCAACAAGAAACTGCTACTGGAGTAGTACTACAGTACATACTGCAAGTAGCTAGTGCCACCACTGCTTCCATCATTCTTGATCTTGATTGCCTAAAGTTCTTGTTTATTTGGTAGGCGCTTGTTGCCTGCCATGCCAAGGTTGGCTCCATGCTGATACTGAGCTGCTAGCTATAAGAAGGCAACCTTGGCCAAAATCTCCACAGGTCGCCACAGCTCTTCAGCTGACACTCATTGAGCAAGCTAAACGGCAAGCAAGCATCTACTAGCACTCTAGCAGCCCAGCGCCGCTCGGTCGTCTTCAGTAGCTAGTGAAATCTTGTTCATTCAGGGTCCTGCTTCCCGCAAAGAAGATAGCATAAACTTCTGCAATCAACCAATCATCAACACACACACACACACACACACACACACACACACACACACACACACAGAGAGAGAGAGAGAGAGAGAGAGATGGCGGTGGGAAAGCTGGGACAGCTGATGACGAGGCTGCACCTGGCGAGGAGCCGACCGCCGTCGACCGCCGTCGCCATCGGCGGCGGACGTGCCGCGGGGCCACCTGGCGGTGTACGTGGGCGAGGGGCGGAAGCGGCTGGTGATCCCAACGGCGTGCCTGAGCCACCCGGCGTTCGTGACGCTGCTGAAGCGGGTGGAGGACGAGTTCGGCTTCGACCACCGCTGCGGCGGCCTCACCATCCCCTGCGCGTCGGAAGGCGACTTGGTCGACATCGTCAGCGCCGCCGTGGACGACCACCACCACCATCACCGATGAGTGATGATCGTGCCCGTGCCGATCGAGTCGGTCGATCGAGCTCTGATCGTTAGATTCCGCTTCCAGTTCCAGCTAGCTAGGACAAATTTTTCCTTGGAGTGTCGTAGCAGCAATAGTATTGGGGGTATGCTTGACACTGTAAAGATTATGATTGGAAATTGGAATAAGCTCTTCTCTCACCCAGGTGTAGTATCAGAAATCCGTAGCAACTGAAATGAGATTCCAAGCCATCAAAATTCAGGAAACGTTTATTACATACCTTCTGTCTTCATGTGGGTCTATTTACTACTCCCTCCTTTCTAAATTTAAGACATTTGACTATTCTAGATACATTATTTCTACCATATCTCTAGCCATAGTGTATATCTAAGTGCATATATAAAAACCATCCATGTATCTAGAAAAATCAAAACGTCTTCTAATTTGGAATGGAGGGAGTAACTTATAAGCTGCTTATGGCCAAAATAAGTTAAAACTAAAAGTTAAACGGTATGTTTTTCTATAGTATAGTCTGGCCATGTTTATTCACACCACCCCATTTCTACTAAAAAGTAAGAATTAGCTCAGACCTGCTTATTCTGACTATGCTTTTATTCTATTTGTGCAGTTTTTTTTTTTTGAAGTGCTTCTCTGAGAAGCACCTATATAAACCAAGCAAAGCCTATATATGATCCCCTGACCTGGTTATTCTGACCACACTAGCTTTTAGGGCCTGATTGGTTGGTTTCCAATTCTTGTCCAACCAAAATCATGGCGTGCCAAAATTTTTAGTTATAAATTAGTTCATTGTGAAAGAATTGGCACACCGATGTTTATGACCAAAGTTTTGGCAAATCTCTAGAAAGCTCTTAAACTACATAAAAGAGAAAAGGTGCCTCCTATTATTGTTATGACGGTCAACTAAATGCACACCTATATTTTTGGAAATGTCTAGTCAACAACCGGTTGTTTTAGCAACTCCTATCAACCAAATTTTTCTCATACACTTACACTGTTTTATAGTTATATTTATATTGTCTTATTACTATATTTACAATGATATCTTCAGTGTAATTTATTGGACAGAGTGATGTAATTTGAGAATAACACAAATATATGCCAAATTTTTCAAAAAGATTTACAAATTATTTCTATGAATTCCAGACATCAGAGAAATATATGTCAAATTATTCAAAAAAAATTCAGAAATTAAAAAAAAAACAAAATCCACACAAGGAGGTGAGAGAAGAGAGATTGTCGCAGGGTGTTCCGTGCTCGCGTTCGTGTGTCAGGCAGGGACGCAGGCACTGGCATGATTGCTTGCTTGACGCTGAAGCCGAGCGGACACACGCACAGGGACGCATCGCACGCATGCACGCGCCAACATGATCGCGGGCAGGGGGAGGCCGACGCTTCCGCATCGCACGGCCCAAAAAACGGTTGATAACAACCGATAAATCAACCGGTTGATCATTAGCCTTTCTGATATTTTTTTGTCCTAACTTTGACAACCTTGATTTTGACAGCCTAAGTTTTGGCTTGCCATAATTTTAGTAGGGTAAAAATTAATAGCCAACCAATCAGACCCTTACTCTATTTGTGTAGCTTCTTTCAAGAAGTGTTTCCTGGAGAAGCTATAGCAAACAAGATCTATAGACCTGTTCGGTAGCTTGTTTTCATAGCTGTTGATGCTGCTGCCTCTTCTCACGTAACACTGTTCTGACAGCCAGCAGCAGCTGTTTTTATAGCCGTGGCAAAACATATATGCTCGGCTTCACCACCTAAGCCTCTGCAGTGTATGGAGAGAGACGAGGGGGGAGTCACTCCTACACGCAGTGCCGGTCATAGGATTTTAAGGGCCCTACGATGATTTCGTCGCAACGGCCCTTTTAACTATGTATAAAATTTTATAATATATAGACACTAATTTTACTTGCAAAACGAAAACAAATTCAATAATATATTTTTAATTTAACATGTCTGATAATTATCGAGCAACAATGTAGATTAAGCAATATATTTATAGATGTATGATAATTATCGAGGAACAATGTAGATTAAAAAAGCAATATATTCGTTTTCTTTTCTCACCCATGATAAATGTTTCTTAGGTAACATTCTAAAATTCTAACACCTAAATTAGAAGAAAAATATAACTATATGGGTACAAAGTACTAGAAGTCTGGAATACTATACAAATAATTAATTTGGATTAAAAATAAAAAGGAAAAAAAATACCTTGGGCCTAAACAACTGATCGGTGATCGCAATTCATAAGAAGCCAAGAATCAAGATGTCGTCGTCGTGGAGCCCTGCCTGGTGGCTGTCCTCGTGCGCCGTGTCCGTGTCTCGATAGTCTAACTCTTCGCGGCGGCGCAGCTCGCTAGCTCCGCGTGTGTAAGGCGCACGTCGCAAACTCACGATCAGAGTGTGTTGTGTGTAGTGTGACTCATCACCTCCTCTCTACCCAAGGGCCGTGGGGAAAGAAAACTAGGAAAGAAATATCGATGTTGTCTTTTTGAGTCGCCTGACTAGTTCAATGTCTCTTTTCTCACTAGTTTGTTAATGCCTAATGGGCTATAGGACTGGGGGTTTGTATAGCTGGGCTGGGCTGGGCTGGGCTGGGCTTGACCCCTCCTCGCCCTCGGCCGTCGCACAGTGATGCCAAGAATTCTGGGAGAGGAGCGAGTACAGGCGAGCGAGTACAGGCAGCTGTGCCTGCTCAGTAAAAAAAAATATTTTATCGCTCAAACCCGCTCAGTCCGTGCAGTTGCCATCGCCGCCGTGTGCCTGGTTTCCTCCTCTCTTTTTTTTTATTTGCCATGTGGGGCCGGTAGCAATGCCTGGTTTGCTTCTGCATTGCAGCAGATGGAGAGCGATGCCGTTTTTCTGTGGTGGGACCCAAATTTTTATTAGGCAGCACTAGCACACTGGAGAAGGCCAGGGTGTCCTTCTCAAGAACACAAATCCCCTCCTGTGTCAACAACGACCTATCGTTGTCCTCAGAGATCAAGCTCCCATTGGTGCGCATCATGAAGCCAGGTGGAGCAGCTGCCAGTTGGACGTCGAGCAGAAGCAAGGTTGAATCCCAGAGCATGCACTGTAATAAGAGAAGTGGTGGGACGAGCTCACCGACGGTTGATGCTAAGCTAGACATGGTCTTGCCATGACCCGACATCGTCGTTAAGTCTGTTTTGTGATCCTCAAGGGTAATTTTAATAACATGCTAAAAAAATTCAGAGAGAGGAGTGACCTCTCATCCGGTACGGAGTATATATAGACAATAAAAACACGGCTATTCTTATTTGAATTTTGCAACCACACGATTGGAATCGAACTTTTGCTACATGTGTGTATTAATAATAATTGTAAACATATATGCATCGCGTGTACGACGTGTATTATTGTAAACAAAAATGAGAAGAAAAAAAAAATGCACGAGTGTGGCAATCATGAACAAATAGGTGCTTATCTGAAACTTATATTAGAGCATACAACAACATGAAACTTATATTAGAGCATACAACAACATGATATCATAGGCAGCATTAGCAATGGCGCTTGAGTGAGAGAAGGGTCTTAAAGATGCCGATGAGCACGCCGGTGACAGACAGGAAGGCGGCGATGAACTTGCAGTAGTTGTAGACGAACTTGTACGCTTTGATCCTCACCGACCTGTGGCGCTTGTACGAGTCAATCTCCTCCAGGGCGGTGAAGTAGCGGCGACCGAAGCGCAGGTGCTGGCCGAGGCCCTTGAAGAAGCCCAGCGCCTGCTTGTTGCTGAGGGCGCCGTGCACCAGGCCCCGCCGCCGGAGCTCGTGCACGTCCTCCTTGCGGTCCATGAGCATCGCGAGCACCGACAGGTACGAGCTCACCACGAAACCGTCCGTGTCCCTGGCCGCGCCGGCGGTGCTCGCCTCCAGCGCCGCCATGTTCACGAGCCAGCACGCGGTGACGTCGCTCAGGAACACCGGCGACAGCGACAGCTCGCCGTACAGGCAGCGCCGCCGGAGGCTCATGTCCCCGAACCAGACCTCCGTTCTCGGCGTGAGGACGACGCCCATCTCCGCGAGCTCCACGGCGCTGCTGGACCACGACGACGAGACGCCCGTGTAGTTCTTCTTATTATCAGGCATACAGCCCACCTGAGTAAACCTGAGCAGACCGAGGAGATGCGGCGGCGGCGGCGGCGGCGGCTTGTGCTGTTCGGTGCTGCCGACGACGCCGCGGCTTTCTTCATCGGACGGCCGCGTCGTCTTGGCCAGCGCCGTCGGGATGCATCCACAGCGCATCCCCCGGCGGCAGCAGCGGCCATCCTCCGGCTTCCTTGCCTTCCTGGGGAAGGGGAGGAACTTGTCGCCCATCCCGGTGACGAACCCGCCCACGTCGACGAACATGAACTCCGCGAGCGCGTCGAGCACCAGCCAGGGGATCTGGTTCTCAAGCAGGAAGATGTCCTTCTGGATACTGGGCCCCGTGGACAGCGTCATCCGGTTCTGCAGCACGAGCGCCGTCGCGTCGTGCTCGACGTCACCGCCGGCGACCATGTACTGCAGCAGGAAGCAGCCGTCGAGGAACATCATGGCGGCGAACTCGGCGTCGCCGAGGCCCACCACCGCGGGGTCGTCGGCGTCGTAGCAGCCCCGGGGCGGCGCCCGCGACGGAGCGCACCTTCTCGTACACCTCCGCGGTGGAGCGGCCCGAGGCCCCGCAGAGGTAGTAGGCCGCCGCGAGCTTGACCTCCTCCATCTTGTGCAGGTGCGGCGCGCCGTGGTGGTACGGCCCGATGGCCACCACGCTGGGGACGATGTAGCGATCGTTGTCGCCGCCGATTCCTCGCAGGCTGCCGGGGAACCGGTGGATCTTGCTCTCCACCTTGGAGAAATCGGCCTCCAGCCTCGCCGTCGTCGTGGCCATCCTCTCGGCAATGGCGGGGAGGTCAGGGACGTCGTCGTTGATGAGTATCGTTCTCGTGTCAGTGACGTCCATGGCGCCAGGATTGGGATTGACGGGAAACTGGGAACAGTCATTTCGACATTGCCGTGCACACGTACAGCTAGCTTTATATGCATGCGTGCAAGCAAGAGTCCAACAGCTGTCAGATACTCAGAGTGATCGCTGAAGCATGCATGCATTGTTCTTTATCATCCCTAGGATCCTTTGCCTAGATTGGTTGCCTAACTCTGATTCCAAGCAAGCGTCATTGTGAGCCCTTCTTGGTTTATCTTCATCACCATGGCTGGCTGGCGCTGCTGGTCTTTTTTAACACGCACACATACACACTCTCCCGCGTTGCTAGAACTGATAAAAGTCTTGGATTGGAAGCATCCACAAGACGTGGTGTTCAGGTATCTGAAAGCTAGCATCGGTCGCCGGTCTGACTTCTCGGCAACGCCAGGAGGAGGATGCCTGCCTTGCCCTCGCGCGGTGAGTGATGACAACGACCTGGGACATCCATATATTCCTTGGTGAGCATCACGAGGCCATATATGTGAATGATCTCGTTTATGTAAGGTAACATCAACTTGCCAGCTTATATTATTATTTTTTAAAAATATATAAAATAGAGTAACCTAACGTGCTAGTATAGAAAAAAATTGTAAGCAAAGACATGAATCATAGAAAAGTGTTTGGGCTTAGCTCTTCATGGAAAACTAACTTTATTCTCTCTCCTATTTACTCAATAAAATATTTTATGAGCTAGCTATTTTAACACTATTGGAGCTATAGAATTCTTTTTTGCGAAGTAATTAATCTAAGAACTGAAGTTGTGTTTATATTCACTTAGGGGCATTTTGGTTGGAGCCTTGGAACTAGGCAACTTGACCAAGCATATATCTTCACCCCGGATCTCCGAAAACCATTGTCTGGGATTGTTGCCTGGCAGACAACTTTTGCTAGCTCCAAACCAAACAAACTTATTCTATGTCAATACATGTCCAACAATTTTCTTACCTTGTTATGTCTGATTGGATTTTGTTTGTAGCACGTGGGTGGAAATCTAATTCATTTAGGGCAGTCCCAAAGCTAGAAATCACATTTAGTTTCTATTGCCATTAGTTTCTATAGAATAAATTTTTTTATCTAATTACACATCTTCTCTCTCCATCATCTACCTATTACATCTCTTCATGTCTTCTTGTGTAGACATGGTTTCTTATATCTAATAAACTATTTTCTCATCTCTCTTCTTTAATTGCAGTGGCATGTCATCTTTTTTTGCTTAGTTGACACTTGAATATAACAATCATCTAGTTTCATGGTTGGAAATGGTTTTACTTATCTTACCGCTGCACTTGTAATACACAGTTGGAATGCTGCTCATGGTAAAAATTCACGTTGAGGTTTGATCGATGGTTAAGGGGGATTTGCCTTTGTTTATAGTAAGTCTAACGTAGAAAACTTAGTTTACTGTTTTCTCCTACCAAATGGCCTATTAGCTCAGTTGGTTAGAGCGTCGTGCTAATAACGCGAAGGTCGCAGGTTCGAGACCTGCATGGGCCAGGATTTTTGTTTTTATTTTTTCCCAGGTCTGATTTTGTTTTTTTAGTTTTGTACTACTGTTTTCCCCCTGTATTTTACTTTCTGTTTTGTACCACGTCCCCTTTTGTTTACTTTCTGTTTTTTCCTGTTTCCTCTGTACTTTTTTTTTTCTATTTCCTATGTGTACTTTCTGTTTTGTACATCATTCCTTTTGTTTACTTTCTGTTTTCCATTTACTTTACACCATCCATTTCGTTATTGCGGAACAAAAATAAAATGTTATTTGCTCATGCCAATATATATGAATATAAAAATTCCTAAAAAGGTTAACGAAGATCACCTTAAAACAGCAAGTGCTGAGTGGCATATAAAAATAGCCCAGGTACTCAATTGCCCTGTTAAATTGAATCTGCTTATCGTAGTGGTATAATATTTTCTCTCACATCAATATAGTATCAATGGTATCAATTTGAACAGCTTGAATAATATTAATTGAAAATCATTTTATACCTATTTTCTCTACTATGTAATCATATATTTTTCCCTTTGTTTACTTTTTTTTTTTGCACTACTGTTTCCTCTACTATACTGGATAATTATATATTATTTGACGTACCACTTGGATGAGCCATTTAATGTTTTTTTTTTTCTTTTTAATTTTTGTTTTCTACTACTCTTTCCCTATTAGATAATTATAGATTTATAGTCCCTCCGCCCTATAATATAAGGGATTCAAGCGACTTTAAAATAAGAATAAGAAGACTAACAAAAGACCACCTTGCCCCTCACTAATCAGGAGGGAGGGAGTAGTTCAGTTGTTATTTTCTTTAATTAATGCCGGTTGTCTTAGGTGACGCTAAGTTTAAAAGGGATCTCAATACTTAACAAAAAAGACAGAGGAGAGGAGGGATTGAGGACACAGAATACCTTATGTTTATGTACATATTTTGAACTTTTGATCTTTTATATTACAGGACTGAGGGGGTATTTGAGATGCCGATTTATAGTGTTGATGTCATGGAGAAGTTAATCAATGTGTTCATATTAGAGTTTTTTTTTTTCGTTTTTTTGTTTACTTTCTATTTTGTACTGCTGTTTTCTCTACTATACAAGGTAATTACATATTATTTTACCTACCTACGTGCATGAGCCATTTTAGTGTTTTCCGTTTACTTTTCTTTTTTACTTTATGTTTTCTACTACTGTTTTCCCTTCTAGGTAATTACATATTATGTTTGACATACCGATTTACATTACATTGCTTCTATCATGGAGAAGTTAATCAATCTATCCCTGGTAGAGAATTGAACTTTACTCCCTCCATCCTGTAATATAGTACATTCTAGCATTCAAAATTTATTCTCAAATATAATGCATTCTAGTGGACAAAAGCCAATTTTACGTTAAATACTTTCCATTTATCAACCAATCACCATTAATCACGTTGAACATAACATTTAATTAGGAAATAAAATGTATTTTATGTTCTCTTTTAATTTGTCTTAAAATTTTTAGAATGTACTATATTACAGGACAAAAGAGTAGGTTTTACGGCATCGAGCCATGTGTTATCTGCTCATTGCAAAAAGGCACTTCAGACTCCGTGATGGGTCTTGCATGATCTGGTCCTTCAGCTCCTACTGCATGCTTCATTTGGCATAGGTAGAAACACTCTCCATATGGCACTGCTTCTACAACAACTGTGAAGATTTCACAGCACCCCTCACAGAATGCTGAAACTGCAACCATTTAGACGTAGACTGAACCAGAGCAACACAGTTCAAGCGCTACAAACACCTAGGTTAACTTTGAAAATTTGAATTACTACCAAGCTAAGCAACATTGAAATGAAATTTAGAATAAGATTTGGTTAGGGTGTGCCAGGCCTTGCCAACAGTGCAACGGCTAGGCGACACTTGAGAACCCTAGTACTATAATAAATCCTCCATACAAAAAATAAATTTAAGAGTAAAATGCACCGGAGGTCTATTAACTTTCGTTGGGGTGTCATATAGGTCCATCAACTTTGAAACTGTATTTTTGGTCCATGAACTTTTAAAATGATTCACCGCAGGTCTATACACATTTATTTAATCTTAAATCCAACGTACATTTGTAGAAAACCCCATACCTTTCTCGTGCAGAAACAGCCACGGCCACAGCCAGCACCACGCGCGGCCACGGGCGCAGCGGGACACTGGCACCAGCAGCAGGAGCAAGAGGCTAGGCTGCTCCGCACCGTCCATCTGCCAGAGCAAGAAGGACGGATTAAGCACCAGCCTTTTGAGGACACTGCCACAAGGTGTTGGTCAGGCACGCAGGTTGCTTGCTTGCTTCCTTCTTGCTGGTACTTAATGGAGTATAATTGAATCAATTAATAGAGTTGCTCCACATCAGCTCCTCCGTGTCCAGCACCATCTACCAGTACCACCATGAGGACGGTGAGGACAACGACACCAGCACTGACGGTAGCAATGACTCGGACTGCGCCGGCGAGGACGAGGACGCCGATGCGCTCGGCGAGGCCACATAGGTGGAGCAGCTGCTGCCCAGCGGCGCGGGCAAGTTCCTGTGGACCGACGGCAGCATGTACGCTAGAGTTCACGTGGTGTGGTTCCCCATCCAGGGCATGGGCAACCGGATGATTGACGTTCGGCTACGTCGTGCACTCGCTGGCTGGGCTGCGACCCTGGCTGCTGATGCTGCCGGACTGGACTACGCAGAGGGCCGCCGTGGCTTGTGTTAGGCCAGTGTCGGTGGAGCCATGCCTGCACTCGCCACCGACATGAAGGACGGCACCAAGGATGGCGTCTGCAGCACCTCAGGGGCGCGGCCCGGCCGCCACGGCTGCTAGCCAGCGCCGCAGCGCGCTGCGCGTCGGTGGCTACGGACATCGCGCTGCCTCGAGTTCCGCCACGAGAGGTGGCTGTCCGCCGGCGGCACCAGGTTCGAGCCTCACGACTCAGTCAGTTCATGGCGTTCAACGCCGGCCCGAGGATATGCCTGGGCAAGGACCTCACGTACCTGCAGCTAGCGAAGCCATAAAGACGTATGTACAGTGCAGCTATTCACTAACCATTCTGCCTAACCCAAGCGACATAGGAGCCGAGGTGCACCGAGCGACTCCGACGTACTCGCACCCGCTGCTGGTCGTGGACGTCGGTCCAACCCGGGGCCCAAGTACCTGCTGTCATTGGCGCCGCGTCGCGCGCTCCTCTAACGTCTTTGGACAAGCTGTTATGTCTCTCCGCCACGGCGCCGCCCAGCGCCGCCGTCGACGCCGAAGGTCTGGCCGGGCGGCTTCCTCGTCTGCTAACGCCTTTGTACGTTGCTTTCGCGGACCGGTCGCGCTCCCGGCAACGCGCTGAGCTCGTGGCGAAAAGAGGTTGTATGCGGCGTTGATGTGGATGAGTCCGGTTGGCGTGGACAATGAAAACGCCGACTCCATCGAGTTGGCGCGCTCCAGGAGGTCCGCGAGCATGGCGCGGTCGGCGCCCGGCGGGAAC